CTGCCCAGGGCAGGGGGTCAAACTCGATGACCTACAGACGTCCCTTCTGACCCTAACATCTATAAATCTATGAAGGGAAATAAAGATGAAAGTACTGCAAGACATGTACATAACTGGTTTGATCACCATGTTCAGAACAATCACCAATGGCTTGCTATCTAATTAGAAGGAGGACTTAAGTGGGGTACCCAGAGGTCTATCCTGGGTCCAGTATAGTTTAATGTTTATGGAATATGGAATATAGAACTGAGTGCACACTGAACAAATATGCAAATTACAGCAAGTTGGGTTGAGTTATACAAACTCTGAAAGGTAGGATTCAGAAGGACCTTGATAAACTGGAGAAATGATCCAAAATTAATCAAATGAAATTCAGCAAGGATAGATGAAAAGTACTGCACTTAGGCCAGAACAATTGTATCTGGGAAATGCAACTGGGGAATGACATGCTGCACAGCAAAAAATAGGGTGTGAGGGTTATAATGTACCCTAAATTGAATATAAACCAACAGCATGTTCTTGCACAAAAAAAAAAGCCAGTATCATATAGGGCTGTATTAACAGGAGTGGTACTTGTTAGTCATAGTGATGCTTCTGCTGTATTCAGCACTGAGATCTTACCTGAAATACTGTGTCCAGTTTTGGACTCCGTACTTCAAGAAAGATGTGGACAGATTAGAAAGAGTCCAGTGAAAAGGAACAAATTGTTAAGAAGTCTAGAAACCATGACTTGAGAAAAAAGACTGAAAGAACTGGGATTATCTGGAAGGACTGAAAGAACTGGGATTACCTGGAAAAGAGAAGACTGAAGGGAATTTGATAATAGTCTTCAAATACCAGAAGGGCAGTTGTACAGTGGATGGTGATAAATTATTCCCAGTGGTTCCTGGCAACAGCACAAGGAGGAATTATCTCAAATTGCAACAAAGGAAATTTACACTGGATATTAGGAAGAACTTTCGAATTATGAGAATGTTAAACATTGGAACAGACTACATAGGGAGGTTATGGAATCTCCATCCTTGGAATCTTTAAAGAGCAAGTTGCACAAACTCTTGTCTGGACTGGTTTAGACTGCTGATGCCCAACCTTTTGGCCCCAGAAGCTGGACAAGCAGTGTGAGTTGGTCCATGGGCCTGATCCAGAAGCCCAATCACAGCACATGGCACTGAGCTGGCCAGGGCTAAACCAGCCATGTGGGGCATGGAAATCTGGTGGTGGAAGAGCTGTGACAGTGTTAATTGCCGCTGCTCCCCTCTTGCCAAATTTCCAGACCCACTGGGAGCGTTGCAGGGTAGATAAACTAGCTCCACGGACCAGATCTGGCCCACAGATCAGGGGTTGAACACCCCTGGTTGAGATGGGAACCATCTTGCCTTGAACATAGGGTTAGTCTAAATGGCTGGACTAAATGACTTCTTGAAGTCCTTTTCAGACCTATTTTCTATTATTTCTATACCCCATTCCAAGATATCTTAGTAAACAGAAAAACATTCAAAGCACAGCAACATATCCAACTGAAAACTGTGCTATAAGCATGAAGTCAAACAATTTTTGCTAACAAAAGTAAAGACCAGTTCCCCTTATCTTCCCCGCCCCCTCCCTCCAGTTCTAAAAAAAGGAGAGGAAAAGGGTCAGGAAAAATAGATATGGTATATTAAAGTGTCAGGCTCACTGAACTTGTTTAAGTCACTGTGTACAGTTTTGTATACTACACTTACATGGTAACGTGCATCATAATAAGTGTTTCTACACTGATAGGATATCTGGAGTTATTGTTTACAGTTGTACAAACTAAACATCAAAGAACAGTTAAAAATACAGAAATTTGTGCTAAGAGATGCTACGAAAAAAACGTAGAAAGTTAATATGTTTGTCCAATATAAACAACTCAGCTATTTAAAAATATGGAGGGTAAACAGTTCAAAGTACTCAGTCCATATTACAAGCTAATAGTCTATGAAACATTACATTTTAAAATTAAATTTTATCTTCAAAAAATGTTTGGCACACACATAAATGCAACTGCTTATTTAAATTCTTTGCCCCCTGCTACCCATTCGCAACTAAAAAAATCTGAGAAGTTTGTCTTCTTGACCAAAGCCATTTTTAAACACTGACAAAGAATAGAAACTGAAGTAGTTTTTGGTAAGTACCAATGTCACAGTGCCATTGAGACAACGGTTTCAATGACATATTTCCTTTTTATGTTAAAGAGATTATTTGTTTAATTGAGTTTGTGGCTTACACTGGTAGTTACTGCTTTGTCAAACTACTTACTTCACAAAACACAGTTAGTAAAATAGATAGTAAGATTAAAGAGACAGGCTGGATTTTAGCTTATTGTGAAAGGAAAAAGATTTACACAGCATGAGAAAAAGTTACCTGATGTAAAAGAACTTCTCGACCAACTTCTGATTGATCCAACTTCCTCCGGAACCGCATCACCTCCTCCTTTAGCTTGCATTTTTATTAAGAAGGAAGAGCCAAAGTTACATTATACTACTAGAAATAAAATAGCTATTTAAATCTAATACTAATTAATAATCAAACACAGATTTTAAAAAATTGTACTAATCTCAGTGAAACACCTTAATTCCGTTTTAAAGCAACCTAAAGCGCTAGAAACCTGTTTCTACAAAACACAGATATCTTATGAAAGGTACATTATAGCGTTTAACCTTTTCTTTCATATGCTCAGTACTACTTCTGGCTACAAATTAAAAATCCCAAATGAAACCAAAATTAAATGAAAATGGTGCAATGCTTGAAAATATATGGGAGTAATTTAAGGTCTATCCTAGAATGAAATTTAAAAGAAATAAAAAAATATTAAGCTACTGAAATGCAGAATTAAGGTATTCAAACTGCCTTAACTTGTTTGTTAGTAATATTATGTGATCTGCTTCCAATTTAACAGATAAAATTTCCTTCCGCAAACTGTCAGCACTTTCCTCACCAGCTGCAAGTAAATCATTAAACATATTTAAAAACAAAACAAAACACGTTTCCCTGTGCATTGAGGATTAAGCTATACATTTGTCCCTTTGGTTATAATCTGCTCAAAACATCTATTGTCTTTATTTTTCCCTGTGGCTGCCAGTTCTTCCCACTGCCTCATTTGATAGTGTTTCTTCTTTCTAACTATTAGTTTTGTGTAATTTAATCTAATCTTTTTTATCTTTTGGAAATTAGGGAGAAAATGGCAGTAACATCAATTGACAAAGATCTCTTACTCATTGCTTACTATTCAAATACAGCATCTAGGGTGCATTATGGGATTGACAGTGCCCTCTCCAGCAGCTTCCTTGTTGTATCCCTGTCTTATTTGGGATGTCTGGTTGCTCTGCTGGATAATTACTGGATAAAAGTTAGAGCTTGTACACCTGTCAGATACCCTTAGAAGTGTGTTTTAGAAGTCTCTTCTCTTCCAAATAAACCCTTATTTGTATGATTAAATACCATTTATACTCTCCCTCCACACACATGTACTTGGAGATATAGGCTAGGGACAGACCTTCAAAAAAACACAGCCTGAACTGATTCAATCTTTGCAGGTTAGTCTAACCTAGCTAGATTGAATTAGTTTGCAACTGTACAGACATTCCGCCCAGACTGAGGAAGTGCAAGCACGTGCCTGCAGCCACTCAGGCCAGGCACCAGGGGGCGCTAGATCAGCTCTCAGCTAAAGGGAGGCATAGCTAGCCCCGGCAGTAACTCAAAGTGAACTGGCCAGGGAGGAGGTTTAATTTCCCACTCCTTGTCACACCAGAACAGACCCGGGTCTGAGTCTGCCTAGAGCTCTCCCTTCACTGCTGTTAAAATGATATAGTAATATTAACAATAAAATGACACATTATATAATAATAAAATTATATGATTTGTGGTTCTTTATAAAAGCAAACAATATAATTACCCATCTACTAATTTAAACAAAAGTAAAAACAAACATAATATATGGTGATACATAAAAATGAACGGATCTAAAATAGTAGAATAAAATCGAGGATTTCTATTTGATTTTGCCCCATATTCTTTGTCCAAGTAGCACACACAGAGTTATAAAGTACAGGACAAGTGGTAAGTTGCTAGGGAGGGGCAAAATTTGTTTTTCCTTCATTATCCTAGTACTTAAAAATTTCCATTAGTGGTTAGATCTATTTTCCTCATTTCTTCAAAGTATGAACAAGACCACAAATGATGATTTAGGTCATCTATATCATTCTTCCTGAAAAACACATCCTGTCCAAATATGGGGTCTGACACTATCTCCTTGAATAACTGCAGATCTCATTAAAGTGAATCAGTCTTGTGATGGCCTTTCATTTTTTTGTGGTTTTGTAGACCAAAAAAGTGCTTTATTAATTTTTAAAAAGGGGAAAATTGAGAATCTCACTGCCTATGTATCTGTTTGCATGCTTAAGTTTGTTTCTTATGTTAAATATGGGTGAAATATTGGATCAGTAACGGTCAGTATGCCAAGGGCTGGACGTTACACATAAACCAGTTTAAGTGATCAGAAATAGGTTTAAATCTGTAACAGAACATACGTTCAGTGTACATAAACTAGTTTCAAAATGGCCAAAACCAGCATGAGATAAACCTGGTTGAATGTAGTATCAGACTTAACTGATTGAGCTGAAACCATTTTATCCAATGTCTGTCCCAGACTCCATCCTGGTTTAACTTAAACCAGTCTCCCAGCATCCCGACGTGCTCTCTGGCCTGGGTGCTGTGCTCCAGCCCAGTAGGGCTGGCCCTACCCCTCTGTTCCCAGCCGGAGCAGGGACAGGCCCTGATAAGGGGGAAGGGAAGAGCCTGTGACCAGGAAGCCAGCAAACAGGGACTACCAATAGGAACAGTTTCCAGGCAGCTGCTAGAGGCAAGAGGAGGGAGGAAGGAGGAAAGAAGCCAGGCCAGGCACTAGATCAGGGGTCGGCAACCCATGGCACGCATGCCCACAGTGGGACACGGCATGGTTTTTATTGGCACACGGGATGCTTCCCACCCCAAGGGGTGGGAAGAGGCATGCCCAGATTGAGCAGCATATGCCTGCCTGGGAACAGCTTTGTGCTGCTGCTGACCCCTGCCACCACTGGACCCCAGCCCCGGAACACCACCAACCCCAGCCAGGTAAGAGCCCCTGCCCCCAAACACCCCCGCCCCCTGCCTCCCATGGCCCCAGCCCCAACCCCGCGCTGCTGGCCACGTGCTGCCGGCAGGCCCTAGGTGGCACCACTGCCTCCGCAGGCCCCGGGCCCGGCCACGTGCCCCAGCCAGCACCATTGCCACTGAGGGCCCTGACCCAGAGCCGGCACCAGGCCGGGGCCATCAGCAGCATTGGGATGGGGCCAGGGCCAGGGCCGCGGACCTGCATGGGCCCTGGACCCACCCCAGCACTACAGACAGCCCCGGCCATGTGTTGCTGGTGGACCTGACTGGCACCCCTGCCACCACCGGACCTGCACAGGCCCCAGCCGCATCCCAGTGCTGCCGACAAGCTCGTCCACATGCTGCTGGTGGGCCCCACCCCGGCTAGCACCTCTACCACCGCCACCCGACCCAGGCCCGGCCCCATCCCAGTAATGCCGCTAGCGGACCCAGGCTCTGGCCCGGGCCCGGCCCCATCCCGGTGCTGCCACCAGGCCCCACCCACAACCACCACCGCCACTGCTGGGCCAGGGTGATCGGCAGCACCAGGATGAGGCCAGGGCCTGAGCCCCATCCCGGTGCTGCCAGCAGGCCCGGCCCCAGCCATAAGCTGCTGCCGCCAGGCCGGGCCCTGCCCAGCACCTCTACCACCCGCCCCAGCCCAGCGCTGCTGCTGGGCCAGGGCCGTCTGCAGTGCCAGGATAAGGTTGGGGCCTGGGCCCATCTCAGCTTTGCTGACGGCCCCAGCCACATGCTGCCATTGGGCCCGGCCCTAGCCAGCACCTCCACTGCCGCTGCTGGGCCGAGGCGATCAGCACCACCGGGATGGAGCTGGGGCCCCATCCCGGTGCTGCTGGCAGGCCCCAGCTCCAGCCACGTGCTGCTGCTGCCGGGCCGGGCCCTGCCGGGCACCTCCAATTCCCACCCCAGCTCAGCGCCACAGCTGTCTGCAGCACCAGGATGAGCCCGGCAGCTGCTGGGGCCTGCTGGGCCCAGGCCCCAGCTGCAGCGGTGGTGCCAGCTGCCAGAGGGCCTGGCCCCAGTCCTCACCACCACCACAGGCCCCAGCACAGTGCAACTGCCAGGTCAGGGCCATTGGCAGCGTCGGGCTGGGGCCGCGGCCATGGACCTGCGCAAGACCCAGCCCCATCCCAGCACTGCTGAAGGCCCTACCCACCTACTGCCAGTGGGCCCCAGCCCCAAGTGGGCCCCAGCCCCAAGTGGGCCCAGCTCCTGCTGACACTGTCACTGCCACAGGCCCCAGCCCTACACGGCCCCAGCCCCAGCCTCAGCCTGGTGCTGCCGCCAGCCCCATCCCGGAGCTAGCGACAGCCCGGCTGCAGCCCCAACCCCGTGCTGCCAGCAGACCCTGGCCCCAGCCCCAGCCCCATGCTGCCCATGGCCAGGCTCCAGCCCATGTCCCATTGCCCGTGGGCCCCAGCTCCAGCCCCATGCTGCTGGGTGGCCCCGGCCCCAAAGCCCCAGCCCCTCACTGCAAGTGGTCCCCAGCCCCATGCTGCCCACAGCCCCGGTCCCAATAGGCACAGTGCTGGCACCTGCTGTCTTCCCGAAGCCCAGGGCCAGGAGACAGCCAGGGCCAGGGTGGGGAGGCAGCAGTTGTTTGCAGCCTCCCAGCTGCAGCCAGCCCAGGTTTGTAGTAGCTGCTGATAGCCATGGAGCCTGGGCTGCTCCCAGCAGCTGGCTGGGAGGATCGAAGGCCTGCTGCAAGCAGCCTGGGCTCCGTGGCTATCAGCAGATACCCAGAACCTGGGCCGGCTGCAGCCGGGAGGCTACAAACAGCTGCTGCCTCCCAGCCCCAGCTCCAGATCCAGCCCTGGGCTCCAGGGAGACAGCAGATACCAGCAATGCTCCCCACCGTGCTGCCCTTGCCACCGTTTCTGCAGAACAACGTGTGAAACCTGGTGTGGCAGGGCACAGCGGGGGGTGCAGAAAGATGCCTGTCACTCCAAGCTTCCCGCTGCCCTGGCCATACTTACCCCACAGGTGGGGGCAGCAGCGAGGGGCTTAACCCTGTGTACTGCCCATGGTGCTCCCATGCACATAGGGAAAGTGTGACCCAGGCAGTGCGGACCTTGCAGCAGCAGGCTGTCACTCTGGGTTGCACACACAACCTGTGCACTGCCACTCTGGGTTGCACATGCTGCGCTCAGGAGGGCCCGGGGGAGGGCAACAGGGCCAGGAGTGCAGCGTGTGTGAGGGCAGCACAGCATGGAGCATCACCAGTATCTGCTGCCTCCCTGGAGCCTGAAGTATCTGTTGCTTCCCTGGAGGCCAAGTCTAGGAGGCAGTTAGAGCCGCAGCTGGGGTGGGGAGGCAGCAGCTGTTTGCAGCCTCCTGGCTGCAGCTGGTTCAGGTTCTGGGTAGCTGCTGATGGCCACAGAGCCTGGGCTGGGGGGCAAGGGGCAGCAGGGGTATGAGCAGAGCTGAGGGGCAGGGGCTTTGGGTGGGGGACAAGGGGCACAAGCAAGGCATCCTGCCATGTACCCCCTGCCTTCATTTTGTTTTTCTGGCATGCTGGCATTCTGGCACCTTCCAAGGTAGGCACTGTGGGGTTTTTGGCACTCCAGCCAAAAAACATTGCCTACCCCTACACTAGATCCTGCCCAGGAAAGGTAAGTGATCCAGCTGCCTGTAGCCTTGGTTTAGCTGACTGTTTGTTTGTTTGGTGGGTGTGTGGTCTAAGAAGCTGGGAATGAGTGTTGATTGCTGACTGCTGTGGGATTGCTGCCTGGGCCTGAGTCAGTTTAGGCCCAGAAGGGTATACAAGGAGACTCCCCAAGTGACCAGGAAGCCTGTGACCAGGGACTGCCAACAGAAGCAGTTTCCAGGCAGTTCGCAAGCCAGTTTGTGGGCAGGAGTACACGCCCTCTGTAAGGGCATGCCGGCGTTTGCGCCAGCGTTCACGCAAGGCTGGCAAGCAGGAGGAGCCAGGTCAGAGGCTTCGGCAGGGGAGAGAGGAAGACACTTCACTCTACAATAATGGTAAGGACACAGTGGGCTGCCAGGGATCCGGCCCCAGTGATGCTGCATGCCCGGGGCTCCTTTGAGGCCTCCACCCAGACAGAGCCCGCAGGAAGGTTAGAGCCACTCTCCCCTCCCCTCCCCTCACTCCCTCGCCCTTCTGTGAGGGCTGCCCGATTGGGCCTCTGCAGCCTGGGGGACAGAGGGGAGTGGGGCGTGGCATGGCAGCAGTAGTGAGGCACCGCCACTGTGCCCCACTTCCCTTCCCTTCCCCCACCTTTTGTATTTAAATACTTCATATTACATACATTTAAAAAAAAAAAAAAAAATCAGACTGTGTACCAATGGCCTACTGACAATACTTTGTGGGAAACCCACAACTTACACCTGCTATGGTGTAAGTTATTTCATTATTTCAAATACTAAAAGAAAAAAAAACAACTGCAGAAATCCAGAAAAAATGAAAAATTCAAATGTTCAGGTTTCTATGCAATTCAAATATCCAGCTTAATTATGAAGGAAGCAATATCTAGCATTTTATAGGCCTACCAGAAGTATCGTATTTATTCAAATATAAGATGAGGTTTTTCACAAGCTCCTCATCTTACATTTGCATACAAGGAACCTCATTTAACACACAGTCTATAATTCAACTGCTGCCAAAGCAGCACGCACTCAGTAATGGAAACCAACTATGAAGTTGATTAAATGCGGCCAACACAGAGAATAAGAACATGATGCATATTAGTTACCTTTAAATTAAGAAATAGTTTCACACAAAGAGAGACTGGAGTTTTTAAGTCATTAAGTCACTGACAACAATTACAATAACTGCAACAGAGACTACATTGCACATGGATTTAAACAAGAAAATTAAATTCTTACTTGATTCTTTTCACTTTCAGATTTCAAAAGTTTACTTTTCACAAGTTCTTCCATTTCATCAGTTTTGTCATCTCGTTTCCTTAAAGCCTTAAAAGGGAAAGATAGTGTGAGCTTTATTAGGGAGTCACTTAAACCACATTTATATAAAACTGCTGAAATGAAGAAAATTACCAGTTGTACATTTTAGAAAAAATGCATCAATTACCACACTTTCTGACTCTGTTTCTATTAGATATTTCTGAAGACAATCAATGTACCTTTGTTGGGTCAGATAGTATCTACTGTCACATGTACACACAGCTGTACATGGGCAGATGTTGGGCACATCATCACATATAACACAATACCTATTTTTCTCCAGATAAAAAGAAACTAGAAGCTTTACCAATATGCTAGGGGGCTAACAGTATATTATTCAGTTTAAGAGCAAAGCAAAAACAAATAACTATTGGAGTGTGCATCAATTTTCTAGATTATATCTAATAATACGTAACAAAGTTGGCAAAAAATAGTCATAATTGTCAAAAGATATCTTGTCATTAGTCCTGTATTCTTATAGTTAAATGTATATTACTTATTCAGATTCATAAAACAAAATAGTCTTCTTGAGTGTCTTGACAGTGCCACCAATGCTTCACTGTCAGTCATTTCCACACCTGAATTAAGGTGTTTAAATTAGAACTAAAAACAGTCTGCAGGGTTGTGAAATAGAAGAGCAACATTACAAGGAATGTGTAACAGGCAGCAAAATTGTGGAAGAAAGGGTAGCTTGAAGAGTGGAACATCAAGAGCATCAAAACGGTTGTTAACACCTGTGGAGTAGAGAGATTAGTTGGACTCGAGGAGAAGATAATAAGCCATGAAGTCAATTGACTCTCTCAACACTGTCTGGATAGAAATGTTGCTGCCTCACCCAGGCAGTTGGTTTTACAGTTTGGGTGGAGCAGGAATCAAAAAGGGAGGTGGGGAGCAACTTCACTAGCCCCAGAGATCCACCCCTGCAGCTATAACAAATACTTAAGGATCTAGGGACAAAAATAACTTTGGCAACCTTTTAATGTATAGGCCCTCAAATGCCAAGGGCTGGCCCTACCTTTCCTAGATGGAAAAAGAACAAAGGCATCACAAGATCCTATTTTTTGAAAAGGCAATAAACTACCCAATCTGTAATATGCAGTAGCACTAAAACTATAATGTCTTTATTAATTATGAGACGTACCACTGGAAAAGTTACTAGATATTAACACAATTGTCATGGTTGGCGTTCACACTTTTACTATCTGTAACCAGCCGCATGATTGCATTTGATCCTGTATTTAAGGGTGCCTCTGGCCATGGCAATCCAAAAATTCATGCTGTTAATAGCATCTCATACCTAAGAATGAAGCTACACTCTCTAAAATCTCCTACTCCTACAATAGCTCTTTCACTGAATAACATGGTTTGTTGAAAGCCCTTGCACCACTGCCATCAACTCCTACAGGAGCCATGTAAAGCAATGAGACTACTATCCAACTGTGAAAGGTCAAAAAATGAGAGGAGAGCATTTTCACAAGACCTGGACTTTGATTATGGAATATGCTCCCAGATAAGGCAATCATCACAGACATCACCAGAACATAATCCTTCCACTTAAGTTTTCCTTCATTATCTATGTCTGTCTGCCTTGTACCACATGCACATACATACCTATAAGATGATCATGTTATTTATTTTAATGGCTGAGAAAAAAAACCCATAAAGATACTATTTTATCCATATGTTAAATGTTTAAGAGTTTTTTCACAGAAAATAGTGATTGGGGTCATACTGATAAGTATGATAAGTACTGATAAGTAACACAGCAAAACAATAACAAAATATCAAAGGAAAAAATGCATGAAACCATACTTAAAAGTTTAAACCTACAGACCAGTGTCCAAAGTTCAGGTGTCTACAGCAGCAGTTACTAAACTTAAGTACACAAGCACACTGCTACAAATCATTTAGGTACACACATACAGACACAAGACACAATTATGGCTACTTCAAAATGTATAATTTTATATTTAGGACTTTTGTTGAGCAAAATCTTGCAGTATTAAAAATCCTCACACAGACAGGAAAGATTTAGAATGTGCTGAAGAAGTACTAGAAACCCTTCTTCGACTAAAAGTACAGACTACTGATACCAAAGGATGCAGGAAATAGACTATTTTCCATTGTGCACTTTTGTGAAATTTCTTTTCCAATTACCTTTTTCAAGCACATTCGGAACCCTGAATCAGTGTGTTCATTTCCATGTGATATCATGTAACCACATGTTTATTTTATATATATATATTTTTTTTTAAATAAAAAAAAACTGATAAAAACTAAAGCAATAGAATAAAACCAGATATCCAAGGTTTGCCAATTCCTCCTCAGATCCTAACAGCTATTTAAACACCATCACCAGGTCCTTAACTGTCCATGTGAAAAATGTTGTCATGTTTTAAGAGAAAACACTTACCCCTGCAAATGAGAAACTTTTAACACATAGGGATCTAAATAAGCTATACAAGCTTATGCAAAACTTTTTTCCCTTCCCTGTTTTACCTAAAATAAAACAAGACACTAGATACTAAAACTGATAGAAAATATAATGGACTGCTGTAGAAGACAGCTAGGATTGTGAAAATTATGTTTATGTAAAGCTCTTTATATTGTGCAATTCACTGCATTTCATAAAAATGGAACTTATTTGCATAACACTCATTTATACAATGCTATTTATTTGCATACTGATCCTACCAACTCCTACATTTGCCATGGCCCAATAAAAACATTTGTATTACAAAACAAAGCAAAAGCAGAATACAAAGATAATATATTTCCTGCCCATTAGATTTTGTTTTCTCTTACAAGTGGTTAAGATATAAAGTGCTTCTGATTTGCTATGACCATTTTCTTTAAAACATATTGAATCACAGGAATAGCTTAGAGAAGGAGTGCTCAACCTCTAGCCCCATATCATCTGACCCACAGAACTCCCCAGGGATGCAGAATTTTGGCAGTAAGAGAGCAGTGCTGCCTAATCTCCAGAGCCATGAGGAGTCCCATTGGACTGTGGGCTTGTGTGCTAGATCAGGCGCGCAGAACAACACAAGGCCCAATCCTGGTGGGTGGAGGTAGCACAGGCCCGCCAGGATCTGATCCTAGTGGATGGGGTTAAACCCATCCCACAGACTACCCCTGCCCCCCCAACACACACCCCTACACATCTGGTCCACAGGACCAAAAGGATGAGCACCACCATATTACACTATTAAACAGTTTGCAATTTCTAAAAAAACTATTTTCAATAGTTATTGTTACACTTTAAAAAAAGCTTCAATGTCACAACCATAGCCAGAGAGCAGAAATAGTTTACTGTCAACAATCTATGAGCCTTAATCCATGACATACTAACATCAAAAAGTTACACTGCTATCAGGAACAGAGGAATGTCTCCCAGGGCTGTTGGCAGGGTATTTGTTACAGTAGGTGCTATTATAAGGCCTGAGCACTAGGTGGCCAAGAGCTGGGAATAGCTGGTTTGCACTCAGCAAACAGCTACCTGAGACTGAACACCTCCCCAGTGTCCTTTGACTTCTGCTTTTTCCAACAACAACTTTATGCCAGATTCTAATAAGTTGCATTGGTGTAAGGCTATCCATTCTGCAGCCACATTTTTATAGCAGTGTAATGGCAGGATGTACTGGAATAAATGTGTCTAGGCCCTATATTTATATTACACCTTTCATTCCAAAAATCTTGCAAAAACTTGGAATCTTTATAAGGCTACCATTACTAGCCCTTCAGCATTACAAGATGGTTAACATTACACTTGTCATCAGTACAAAACTAAGCTAAGGAAAAAAAGAAAACATTTCTGTCACAATGATAGTGGTTAAAAAAACAACTCAGTTGTTTTAGAACTGATGCAGAGCTACAGAAGACGGAGTTGTGTATATTGTGCACTTTGGTACCTAACTGCCTATTACCACATAAATATATCATTATATAAAAGGAATTAGTTATAAGCATACATGTACACACACCTTTTTCTAAGAAAGGGTTCATTGATTCTTGTGCCCTGTTTATTTTCCCTATGTGGAGCACTAGGAGGAGGCAGAATCAATATCACAAGAGCACAGCCTGAGCAGTATTCAAGCCTGCTCTACATACTGCAACACAGGGAAGATTCCCAATGAACAGAGAAGACTGCCAACATAGGGAGGTTTAGACTGGACTGAGAACTGAGTTTAATACCTATATGTCCAGTCCAAAACCAATTATAATATGAAAAACTTGTGTGCAAATATGAATGTTCGATGAGCTTTAAAGTAGCCCCACCACCATTCTGAAGCACGGGGATGCTAATACACTAGACACTGCGGGTGCTTTAATTAGAGCAGCTCTTGGAGCCACTCTAAAGCACTCCCTCTTCCCCACTGGAAAACATGTAAAAACACCCAAAGTATTCATTTAATCTTTCTTCATTTCCTTCCTACACAGCAAGGCCAAGCAGCTATTGAACTAGCTGGAGGCTGGCTTACTAGAACACCTGCATGACATCCCATTAAAATCTTCCACCATTCAGGGCTCAAAAAGATTTCATATATCTGTGCTCTCCGCGCAACAACGTTCTAGTAACAGTTAGCCTTTCAAAGAGGAAACTTCATGTTCTCAGTTTTTTTCTACTTCTTCATGGGCTGCAGCACTATTTCTTAACTCTCTTTATGCATAAATGCTTCCCAGTTTTAGAACCTACCTATTCCCATTATACGATTTTAGTCAATCCATGAACATTGTTTTCTCTACTGCACACTGGGAACAAGATTTCATCTTATCAGAATCTATAGCAAAACTCCACTTGGCTTGAATGACATTTTTCAACTGAAAAATACCTTGGAAGAATGTTTTGTTGTTTTTGTTTGTTTTTTTTAAAGAGAGAGACTTGTGTCTCCTCCTCTAACCGTGATATACCAAAGCCTGGCAAGGTTTACCACAATAGTTTGGCATATTTTGGAAGAACTTGTACTGGATAACTTAAGGAACTATGATATAATCAAGCAGGCTGAAAG